TTCTTAATAATATTTTTATAGATGGAAGATACTGTGACATTTATTATAAGGCAAAAATAAATTGATTTCATAATAAAAATCTCGAAACTTGCACTCCGTCGTTTTTTAAACAACAAAACTTCAAAATAATACTACAATGCTTATAGTTACATTGACAATAATTCAGTAATTACCAGATATTACCACTATGCTCGTTTAATATTTAGCAGAATTAAATTTTGTTACCTATTTTCCTTTAGAAATACCTATATCAAAACGCTACCTAACCAGAAACGAGTTTCGTTGAGAAGATGAATACATAATAATATGTTGTCTAAATTACTGACATAATATTATATATAACTATAATAATTATATCCCTATTATTTCAAAGTAAATTATATTCAGAAAATATATAATTAGAAATACTTAATTATTGCTAAGTGTGCATATTCCGAGATAATTCCTTGGGGGGGGGGTTGAACCAACAGTCTGGTAAGTATATATATGTTTAAATGAAAAACCGAAGCCACATTATTTATTTATTTATTTTATGGTTGTATAATGTCTTACTATAAACATACATTTAATTCAGACCGAAAATGTTCTAATTATGTGAAAAAAAAAATTAACATGGGTTTCGATATTTTATGAACAATATTTCACTTTTTTATTTTTTACGTTAAGTTCAGCTGAAAATAAACAGGTTTAAAATTAAAAGCATTAATTGTTTATTATGTTTAAACACCAAAAATTTTCTATTGTCCGAAAGAATATTTTTCGTAAGCTTTTTAAGTTTTTGTATAATGCGTGTAATATACTTATAATGTGCACCTATGACCTATGTTATTACATGTATAACAGTTATGTTAATTTTAATTTTATCTTGTTGACGTTATCTCCTATACTAATCTTGTCAAATGTGAAAAGAAATGACTTGGCTATAATATTAAAAATTATTATTTATACATAAGGATTAATTAACTAAGCAAGAATTTAGGACCTATTTAGAGCATAAAACATTAATATTTATCAATTAAAATATAATATCATGTTTGTTTTAGTTATTATATTGATTGAAAAAAAGATTTATATATATTTAAAATGTATTTAGATGTAACTATGCTAGTTAGCCATAATATTCCTGAAACAGCTATACACAATTGTTATTTATTCATAAATATAGTTTTAATTCCATCTTAAATATTATATTCAGCCCTGCACAGGAGTTACAATATTCAAAACTGCAATATTCACTTTCACGGATACACAAGACACAAATATAAACAATTATAATAGTTAATAAATGTCACAAGCTTCCTGTATTATTATCTAATGTAAGTATTTAATAATTAATATTATAACATACAAAATTAATTTTTATCCATTAAAAGATAGGTTTGCCACATTATAGCGTGATTCCTGGAAAACTGGGTATACTATATAACTTGATTACCTATACTCTTTTTCGTGAGAGAACTGGACCGTTTCGCGCAGTTATAAAAACTAATTTGGATGGGGTAACCTCATTTAAGTACGTTTACTATGGTAAAAAAGTATTTTATGATTGACTATCAATTATCATGATAATAATATTGAATATTGATGAGGAAAAGTTCACAGAGTATAGTCAACCTCTACCTACCATGACTACCCCGTGCGCACGCTTATGGTAATGTGGGTAGTTTAATATACAGTGTATCTTGTTTTCGAGGACACACGGTATACAAAATTGTTCACAAAACAAAATTACTTGGTCATAAGTTATAACTTACACAAATATACCATATTAAAAATGTATAAATATAGCATACAATTACATCTTATCTATTAATATAATATGAAACTACTACAGCATTTAAATGTATGTATAATATTCTTAATTGCAGTGGCGTAGACATGATTTCTGAAAGGGGAGATAAAAAAAAAACACAACAAAATGGGAGGGAAAAATTATAAAATCCCCCACCCTCTCAAAACTTTTTACCAGGGTAATAAAAACCAATGGTTTAATGGTTAATTGTTTTTACATTAAATAAGTACTACAATAATTATTTGACAATTGTATATAACATAGGTACAAAGTACATAGGTACCTATTATTATTGTGCATCCGTCAACCTAGCTTTGTCAGTGCCTACCTAAACATATAATTATTTCATATTTGTAATACATCATAAATGACTTAGTCACAATACAAACAATACACAATATTACTAATAATGCATAACAATCAATGCCTGGCCATATTATAGTCATAAATACAATTATTGAGATACAGCTAATAGCTACAGAACATATAACTACATAATAATAATAATAATAATTTTAAAAATGTTAACATAAATATAATCAATATTATAAGGTTTTGATTGCTGGGATGTCTATAAATGGAGGTTACAATTAATAATACTTTGATAAAAATATTCTTTCATTGTATGCAATTAACAATTAAATCATAATGTAAAATATTATACCAAAAATACGATAATATTTTGAACCAATGGAACTGATCCTAAACATATTAATTATAAACTAGTAGGTATCCTCCACTTTATATTTAATTTTTAATATATATCTATATATATTTAATATACCTACTATAATATTATTATAACTTTATAATAATGTTATATTGTTCAAAATAATTTTTGTTAATACAACTATAATTAAAATAAAAAATATAATTTGTATAATCATTAAATAACGTAATGTACATTTACTTGTCAAGAAATACAGAACTAGAAGACAGGGTGGGTGTATTAAGTTAGGAACTAGTGCTGAGCACCAAATCTAGATCAATCCATATTCGGCTTTCTGATCCTGATTGAAACAAAAGTTACAGTTTGTTTAAATGTTTAATCCGGATTATGATATAAATCCGGATGATAAAGTTTTAAAAACAATTATTATATTATTTATATTTTTTTTTTATCTTATTATATAGGTAACCAAAAATAAAATTTGATTTAGAAAGATCCGATATATTCACACGTTTGTACCTATAGATAATAATGAAAAATTAGCTGATTATCTCAAAAATGACAAAAACGACGGATTGAATCCGAGAATCCGGATAAAACCGGATTGATCCAAAATTCGGATTTAATAATTGTAATCTATAATCTATATTAGCAGTGGATATTTTAAGGAATTATCACTGGGTAACAAAAATAATTTCCACACTATACATTATACGTCATAATCAAAATCAACAAAGATATAAACCTAAAAAAAAGATTTATTTTAGTATTTAATAAAAAAAAAAAAAAACCTTTCAACATATAATAATACTATCAAACCTTACAACACATAATTAAGTTCAAATAATGTAGATACGAGTTAAATGTATGCTTTTTAATTAAAATAATAGAATCAATGACAAAGTTAATGACATAGGTACTGTATACCTACATATTATGTTATAATATAATTAATATAAAATATTAAATAGATATAGATAGAAATATTATGTTATTTTTCAAACTTCTTTAAAGAACTTCCGTATGTAGAAAAGGTCTTTATTTTATGCTTGTTCATCTGGCAACATGTATCGACGTTGTTTTTCTGTAAAAGTCAGGCAACTGATCAAGCCTTGGATCAAAATGAGCTGTACCACGGCTATTTAAAGCAATATAATGGTGCCTATTCCTTCAAATAATTGGATTGCTTGATTATTTTCAAAAAGTATTGCATACTTTTCAGGCCCGCAACTTTAAGGAGTTAGACAAATATATGTCTGCACGATTTTGGAAAACAAAGTTTTGGTGTACTTAATTTTAAATAATAGTAGCTTTCCAGTTTAATCTGTAATATTACGCAATGATGGTAGATTTTCTGCATCTGACAAATAGACTATAGAGCCCAAATACTTTATCACTGAACTGACTCAAATTAGTTTTGTAAAATAAACCTTTGACATCACATCTTACCGAAGCAATCAGTTATGTTGTACTCTATGCATTTAAAAATTATTTGAGTCGATTGATAATAATTTTTTGTTCATAATCATTGATTAAGTCGCAGATGTAGAAATTCTATAGAGCTTTTTGTAATTTGATTTTGAACACTTGAAACACAAAGTTTTGTTGAAACATACGAGTTTCGAATTGTTCGTGTTCTTATGTACAATATTTTTGTATTTATTAATAATTTTTATTTCAAAATAATCAAGATATAAATATATAATAGAAAAAGACTTTTATTTTTTGGTACACAATGCCATATCCTCTGTGCTTCCGCTGACCAGCAAAAACAAATTGCCGGTACAACAGTATAATGTACCTAACTAATATGTAATATTACTATAATACGTAGGTATTTGGACACGTCATATGATATGTTAATATAATATATATATTTCAAACAATCTTATTGAAAAACATGACGTATAAAATATTAGATTTTAATTAATTCTATACTTTCAAAAAGACGAAAGTCGTCGCATGCCCTGAACTTCTGATGGTCCAAAGTAAAATTCAGCTAAAAGCTATAGCATTTAAAAAGCAAAATACCTAATAAAAAATGTGTTTAACTCGGAAACAATAAAATGTATTGCTAACAATAAAAAAGTGTATGACAACCCGCAGGCAGATGGCCGACAAAATGCAGAGTGCAGACTTACTGAACAGCGTACAGGCTACTATAACTATAGTAATATAAATAATATAAAAGCGCACTATACCTAAGTCCTAAATTAATATTGTTATTGTCGTCAACCACTTGACCAACAATGGCCAAAATAAATGCAGATTATGTCATAATATTATAAATTAAAAAATTTTTATCTCCACAAATTGAATAAAAATATTAAATTATATCAAACATCATCATTTTACAAAAAGTTGCTGTCACCCAGCAATTAAGTATATCATCTACTAAGCGACAAAAAGTTTTCTCTGGGTAAAATATATGTCAAAAAGAAAGAAAATTGTTATTATTTATTTAATTATAAAGATCAATCATTCTAATTCACAGATGCCGATTTCCTGGTTTAGAAATATTAGTAACAACCGTTAGTACTAGTTGTTTCTTTGGTATCGACGACGGTTAAATCGATGCTCTACAACAAACTTTCCTGTAGTACGGTAACGCTTTAAGTTTGATTTCCACCAAAAGTGATATAGACGACCACTGCTTTCATTATTTATGTTATCATTTCTACTGCTCATATTACTGGTGAGTTGTAATAGTTGCTTGTTATAGCTGTCTTCTGTTCTTATTATGGTACTATTTTCTGAAATATAATTCAGCTAAACATTAATAATAATTCAACAATCAAATCTAAATTCATATTTTTAATAACAAATTTTGTTTTAATAAAATAAAAACCAAGTAAAAATTTTAGAAACTGTTAAAACTTTTAAAATAAAATAATATATTAAGTAGGTATATTAAATAAGATTTCATTAATAACTTTATTTTAGTGGATATGCACACAATCTATGATATTAAAAACTTTGTTGTACACTTTATTTAGAGTTAAATACTCATATTAATTGATAGGCAAAAAAAAATATTTTTTGTCATTTTAATTTTAATATAAAATATATTTTACTAAAATGCAATTTCATAAATGCATTATTAATCTCATCGGTAAACTGTTATAAACGGTTTAGATATTAAGTACTGTATTATTCAAGCTTTCAAAATTATTTTTGACTTAAGTTAAAATTAAAAATACAGTTTGATAGGTAACATATTAAATATTAATAGTTGAAATTATGTTGAAGTTTACAAATTAAAGTTGTTGATAATAGTTGTTATGGTCTATAAAAGTAATTATTTACAATACATTTATATGTATATGCAACTTCAATGATAAATGTACTAAGAAGAATTCAAATTAAAATAATTGAATGTCTAAATGTAATATGTATCATGTATGTTTCAACATTTTTAAATTATTCATTAACATTTATTCATCTCCTACTAATTTTAATTCATGTGTTACCTATCACTTATTCAATACGATCAAATTGTTAAAAAATATTCTTTTTAATATTATATAGGCTTATTTATTTGTATTACATATTTTTGATATCTTTCTAATATAAATACATCAATAAACTTAAGAAAAAAAATTAGCATTATCAACAAAATTTAGTCTGTATATTAACTATTACGTAGGTACCTAACTGACTAGGACCGTGGTGTCCATTAATGTTTTGGTCCTGTTGGTCCTGTTGAACTTTTGTAATTTTTCGTTCCATACCTTTCAATGTTTCCAACCATGGCCCAAGAGTATTGATTTTGGAAGTTTCAATCCCACTGACGCCTTCGTTGAATTTTAATATGTCCAATATTCTTATAGTCTTACGTAATTTGTACAAAGCAGATTCAAAATTGTCTATAAATTAAAAAAACACAAACAATCAGTTTTCTATATAAATAATAACTATATGAACATATAAGAAAAACCTCACCAACTATGACTTTATTTATGGCAGCCAATATAGTCCGTTTGCACACACCTATTATTTTATCGTCGCCCAATGTAATCTCAAACTGTGTTTTGATTTCATCTGCTTGCTTTTTGTCATTATTGGAGTTATTATCAGTAATAAAAAAATGTATGTAATAAATAATATTATTGTATTTAGGTAGTGTTAAATGAGAGTGTGTATAGAATATATTTTGTAAATTAGGTAGGTAGTTAACTTACTTCTAATAATCTGTTGTTGTTATTTGATGTTTGTTGTTGTGTGTTTTTATCAAAAATTACAGTTGACTTCATACTGTTGTCAATAGTTCTTTCTCCCAGAAGTAATCGACGAAAACATGATGAAGATAAATCATTTTTAATCATTCTGGTGGCTAACTCAGAGTTTCTTTCTAAACAGAAATATATTTTATTTACTTGATATCAAAACAATACTTAGGTATTTATTTTTGATGAGTTTAGAACCATATACTATTTACAAATGTAGATTAGTCATTAGATGATCATCAATATAAATATATCACCTACCATTGTAGTCGTAATCATTTATACGTTGCTGTATTTGTTGCTGAATGGTATTGTAGCCAATTGTAAGTGATGAATCTGGTGATGATACAAGTGAAGGCTGCTGTGGTTGTTGCATAATGGGAGTAAATGGATGGTGAACATAGTAAGAGTCTGGCAGAGGTGGAGAAGATAACATCAAAGGTGGTAGAGATGATGGTTCTGGTGTTGGTGGAGGTGGTGGACGGCTCATCAACATTTGAGGACAAGAATAATGATGATGATGTTCTTCTTCTTGAAAATCATCGTTTACCACACAATAAGAAACTGGATAAGACATGTGATTTTTTTTTTTGTGCTGGCCAAATCCAATAAAACCAGTTTCCGCTGTGTGTGTTTTGATTCCTTTAATTGTATAAAAATTAATATTAATATATGGTTATAATTTTATTATGAAAAAAAAAATGTTTTAAAGAGTGAACTAATAAAGCTTTAATAATAGTATATTATTATTATTATTATTATTAATAGTACCTAGGTAACTGTATTAGGGTTATAATTAGTTATGGAGGTACATTTAAATATTTAATGCCATTGACATGCATTTAAAAATATACAATGAAACCGCAATAACTCAAATCGTTCGGGGGTTAACAAAAAATAGTAGTTATTGAAAATTTGAGTTATAGAAAATATGTTGTGCACTTGGGTAGGTACATATTATTGAAATTCAGGGGCCAAGACATTCTTTCGAGTTATCAGATATTTGAATTTCGAGACGTTCGAGTTAGGTATTGAGGTTCCATTATATATGTATGCAATATTTTATTACTAAATTGGAAATATTAATTTACAATGGGTGAATTAGTTAGGTAATTAAAATGTTTTTCTTATTTGTATTTCAAATTGTATTACTAATATTGTGTATACTATAGAACATTTAATTTTATAAAGAAATAAGAAGTACCTAAGATAAATATATTTTTTATATAAATATTAATGATCCTTAATTTTTTAAATGATACTATAATATTATCCCTATGTAATACATGTCACATCATTATAACAAATAAACTAAAATTTAATATACAAATAAAAAATGGCCAGAGTGCCAGACTGTTGCACGTATAAATCGGACATCCCTAATGAAACCATTATCAAATGCACGGCTTTGAATCAATATTTCCCATAGATAACAAAATCATTCTCAAAAATGTTTCATATCATTTAAAACAATCACAATAATCTTATAAGGAATCTTGTATTACATTTTAAAACCTTTGATTAAAAAAAAAATTTTTACGAATTCTTAACTCAAAATAATTTGTTAATTTTCGTGATTTTTCCATATTTTGTAAATTTTTGAACTTTAAATGCTTATAAAAAAAACTGTGACTAATAATTTTTAATATTTTTTAAATTCCATTGTAACAATATAGTAGGAGCCTTGTATTAAATTTTCAACCTTTTTTAACCAACAAATAAAATGTTATTGAAATTTTTAGAAAAAAAACTAAAAAAAAATGGAAAATGAAAATGTGCTTTACGGTTCAAAATAAATCCAAACATTTTGAAAATGTTATCGTGTATAGAAAATGCTAATATAAACATTCAGTCCAAATGTCATGTTCCTACGGTCATTTGTTTAAGAGTTGCACCAAAAACAAAATTCGATTTTTTCGAAAACAGATTTTAGTGTACAAATTCCCGTTTTTCCTTCATTTTTATTTTGTTTTTCACTTCGCTTTTGAAAACTACTGAGAAATTTTGAGCACTTTTACGGTCCTAAAACGTGATGACAGACACAAAAAAAATTAAAAAAAAAAAAACACACATCATTGTAAAATCAATACATTCATCGTTTCACTCAGAATCTAAAAACGACAATATAGCAATTTTAAAATTAGGAATATAAAAAAAGTTGTGTGGGTTAATTTTACATTTAACACAAACATTTCCAAATACATAATCAGGTCCAGATTGTGGGAAACTTGATCTTAATTTAGGAATAGTTAAAGTAGTATTGAGGTTATATCGAAATATCTTTAAAAAAAAATTGTGTTTTTATATATTTTAGATTTTTTGGTTCCAGTATTCATGAGAATCTTTGTGTCAGTTTTCAATCCTTAGCTATAAAAATTGAACATTTTATAATTTTTTAATTACAATTATTGATAATTTTTGAGATTTTGATAACATTTTGTCAACATCTGAACTTTAAATACTTATAAGAAAAATTGATCTGTAATACTTACCCACTGCCATTATAAAACGTACAAGGAACTTTGAATTACACTTTCAAGATTTTTAACCCAACTAATAAAATTGTATTAAAATGTTTAGAATATAAAACATAGTAAAATATTTTGAAAATGTTATCTTGTATAGAAAATGATAAAATAAACAATTGTTTTTGAATAACAACAAAATAAGAAAACCGTTATATGACTTCGTTAATTTACAGGTGAATATGAAATGTATAGATTCAAAAGCTTGTAAATAACAGTTTGACTTTCCTGTAAACTTTTTTTGTTAAATGTAGGAAAATTTAAAGGGTACCTTGTATTTAATTTTCAAAGGATTGATAGAAATAGAATATTTTTTATGAATTTCTAACTCGAAATTATTTGTCAATTTTGGTATTTTTAAATGAATTTGTCAAAATGTCAACTTCAGACAATCATAAAAAATTATTATTGTGGATTTATGTTCAATTTTTTTTTTAATTTCCAATAACATAAACTTATTAGGAATACAATGTATAAAATTTTTTAATTTTTTGACCAGCCGAAAAATGTTGAATAAATAATAACTAAATAAAACTCAAAATGTTCTTATCCATACTATTATATAAAATTGAAAGGGTTTTCTTCAACCGCGCTAACCGAGAAAACTACTGAACCGATTTGACTGAAATTGTTTACGTTTATATCTGACAGTCTGCTAAATGTTTTAGTACCACTTTTGTTAATAAAAAACAAATATTAAGTTGTTGAAAATTTAATCTAATCTAATTCTTATATTATATATTATATATAATTTATATAAGAGAACAGGCCATTTTTATGTTCCAGTTTTGTGACTACACTATTTAATATTTTAATATTTTACCAATTTTTATTCTCAGAGTTGTTCCAAATACCTTCCTGAGTGTCACCGTGTAGCCCAATTTTTATTTTTTTAATCGGAGGAAAAGAGAAGGGAATCTATATATTATATACCTAAAATCCAAATACCACTGACTCACTGATCGCTGTATCTCAAAAACTACTCAATGTACGAACTTGAAATTTAGAAAAGTGGTTCTTCTAATACTTTCACCGTGCAATAAGAAAGGATTTGGCAAAATTTGCATTTTAAAGAGGTGCTCAAACAGGGACATTGAGGTTCACATTGAAAATTTTATTTTTAATTATTAATAGTTCCCATCAATTAGTGTTTATTTATTATCGGTTGCCATTGTTTATTTGGGAAGATCAGGTAGAAACTTGCATCAAATCGAATTATTGAACATTGCTTACCAAGGTGATTGGTAAAAAAGTTGCCCAAGTAGTCGGATTGCCTACCAGGGTGGCTGAGTTGCACTAACTGCAGGCTGCAGAAAGTTACACCCAAAAGTAGTTGAAAAATCATACATTTTTAAGATTTGCGATTTTTACGGGTATAATGAAGTGAACGGGTTCTGATATAAAAATATATTTACCATTAATACCGCTAGAAACATTTGAATACGTTTTTATTAAACGATACAATTTTTAAAAAAATTATACATATCAGCGTCCGAAGGCAAAATAAACAACCAATCATGGGCGAAGCTGTGATGGGTCGGCTAGTGATATATATAGCTCAAAAAGAAAATGTTATGGTGTGTAGAAATGTGAACATATTTTTTCTGTGAAAATTTCAACTATATTCTGTTACTTTTTTAGAGTTACAATAAAAAATAACATCATTTTTTTCTAAACTTTTCAGTTTTCAGTTTTCAAAAATCCCAGTTTTTCCTTATTTTAGATTCAGAGTGGAACGATGAATGTATTGATTTTACAATAATATATGTTTTTTTTTTTTTGTGTCATCACGGTTTGGGGCAGTACAACTGCTTAGATTTTCTTCAATAGTATATCTTGTTCGATGGGAAAGTGAATCTAGTTAGTGCATTGGGGAGGTAAAATTTTAAAATTCCCAATAGTTTCAAAAGCACCGGGAAAAACAACATAAAAATTAAGGAAAAACGGGAATTTTTACGCAAAATCGGTTTTCCATAAAATCGATTTTGGTTTTTGGTGTAACTCTAAAACAAATGAACGTATATACATGCAATTTTCACTGGTTGTTTATACTTGCATTTTCATACACGATAAAATTTTCAAAATATTTTGATTTGTTTTGAACTGTTTAGGTACAGTTACGCTACAAGCAAATCAGATTAAATTTTTATGAGCCTTTGAAGTTCATATTTTTACTATATTGGATATACACTCGATTTCTCACGTAGCGGTTTTGTTATTTTATTATTATTCAAAAACGAATAACTCTAAATACATGAAAACTTTATTGAATGTTTATATTTACATTTTGTCTACACAATCAAATTTTTAAATATTTTGACAATTTTTGAGCTGTTATTACTGACATTGTCAGTTTTCAATTTTTTTGGTTTTTTTCTTTAAATATCAATAAAAGTTTATCTGTTCTGCCAAAAAGTGTAAAAATGTAATACAAGGCTCCTGATATATTGTTGCAATAGCAGTTGAAAACATTGAAAATACAATGGCACAATTTTTTTTTATAAGGATTTAAAGTTCGAATATTGACAAAATTTATAAAATTTAAAATTAAATAATTTTTTTGAAGTTAAAATTTATAAAATGTTCAACTTTTATAGCTAAGGATTGAAAATTTAAAACAAGGTTCCACGTAAATAGGTTATATTATATAAATTACATTATTTATAATAATATCATCAAATATACTTAGTTATATCATAGGCTGACTGACCGTTTTTGATCAGAATCTTTTTTCTTATTCAATGATTTTATATCATTGAATTCAAATTCAACACCATCCATTACAGTGACCCACTTGTAACTTACTGTACAGCAGTGCGACATCCGTTTACCCACCATGTTTTGGTTGTTTTTCCTAAAGCTTAGGAATTCTTTACTTTTGACCTCCCAAAGTACCAACTAGGTTCACTTTCCTACCAAAAAATATGCTGCTGAGTGGAAGAAAATTGAAGTATTTTTACCGTCCCAAAAGGCAATGACAGACACAAAAAAAATTAAAACTAAAAAAACTCACATTATTCTAAAATCAACACACATTTATCGCTCCGATCAAAATCTAAAATCTAAAAATCTTATGTACAATGTATGGTGTGTTATATATTTTTTTTTGTGATTTCTATTCACAGCGCTGGATTCATAATATTGCTTAGTGCTTACCATTATTATCGTAATGGTGCAGGTGGTGATGATGCTGTGTACACTGATGGTTCGACCAAGGTGGCAGTGGCCGATGGAGGTCTTCTTCTACGTGCCACATAATCTGTCCACGTGTTCGATTTGACCAAGTCTATTGTCCGCAAGTAGTGTCCTACATTCCCACTATTGTGAATATTATAAACTGGAAGTCGGAAGGATGATATATTTTAAAAAAATATTTCATCACCTTGGATGACCAACATTCACTGTGGCCTATGGTCCTCGTGGAGGAAACGTCCCGTGGCACATTGTGACTGCAGCGAAACATAAACGTTACGCGTATATATATTATATTAGGACACTGTGTAGGTGTTATTAAGGACACGTAGCGGCAGAATTTTATACGCAAGCGCCATGCATACTACATGCTGGCGCCGCCTACATAATACTATGTTGTATAGTTAACTGATTTCGGTTGTAATTGCCAATTAGTGCAAAGTTATATTTTGAGGCTTCGTCGATCACGCCATCCTGTGATGAGGAATTACACACATTGTGTATTTTCCAAAAACATTGAACAATTATCGAGAATGTGTTATGTATAACAAGTAGCCAGTAGGTACTATACCTATATTATGTAGGTATACTATAAATGTCTATAACTACATCCAACGAAAGGCTGAATTGAGTGGTGAACATTTAAATCTTCGTGACGAATATATAGCTTCACTTCGCCGAGTTGTATCCGATCTTCAACGTATTATAAACCGCCTAGTTTAATACTTTAAAGGTTAAAGATAGGTAGATAATAATATTATCTAATAACTATTAAATAAAGTATAGCATACAATATTACCATAATATTGTAAATTTGTATGCTATACTTATTTTTTTTTCACACCATTGTCATCGCCTATATATCCATTATTTGCTTGAATGAGACATTTGAATACTAATAATTCAGTAATAAGAGACCAGCTGTTTAAAAGCCGAAATATTCATTTTGTGAAAATAACCAGCTATTACTTATCATAAAGATTTTTATTTTTTAGAAAAAAAAAATAAGAACCTATAATATTGTTTGTTCAAAATGTTCAAATATCATTAATAACAATCTAAAAAACAAAATAAAAAAAGGTGGGAAAGTGGATGTTGCTCTGCTGTATAGTAGGTTACAAGTGGTTGAGTATGGTTCAGTATAATATAATGGATGGTATTAAATTTGAATACAATGATATAATATAATTGTATACGAAAAACGATTCTGAGCTGAGACGGTTTGTCAGTGTGAATATTTTAAATTATGTTTATACCTCTTTTTATTACTTATTATCTATTAATACGGTAGCCGGTAAGTTGAATTAATATTATAAAATTACAACAAAATAACTAAAATTGTTATTCTTGATTATATTTTAATATGTAATTACCTGTATATGTATATGTAATTTAGTATGTAATCTCGTCCAATTTTAAACATAAAATAACTTGAGATTTGTTGGTTACAGAATAACCTACCTACCTGAAACCTCGTTTTAAATTTTCAATCCTTATAGCTATAAAAGTTGATCATTTTAGGGTCAGGCCATACATGTAGCAGTTGAGCCGCAACGGTTGTACCGCTCGTGGTTCAACCGCCATGTTACCATACACATAAATACACAGTTGAACCACGCGTTGTTATGCCAAAAATATTTCGTGAATGAAAAATTATTATATCAAATTTTAATTAAAAAATTAAGTGTTCATCCACAAACAATTTTATGAGCGTATGACAATAGATATTTGACAAAATTCGTTAAAATCAAGAAAATTTGCAAATTATTTTGAGTTAAAAATTCAAAAAAGTTTTATCTATATATATATCTAAAATTTAAAAAAGAAGAACAAGATTCCTAGCTCGTAAGTTTTTCTTTAAAAAAAAGTTTACTAGAAAGTCATAATACATTTTTGATGAACGTTTAAACTTACGACATTGGATTTTCACCCGATTTCTCATAATATTAGGTACGTTTATCATAATAATTTGTTTTAATTATAAAAAACGAATAATCGTCAATATTTTTAATTTTACCAAATGTGTATTTTATCATTTTCTATTTTCAATAGCATGTAAAATATATCTTGACTCTGTTGGAGCTACTTTAGCCTATAGACATTTTGTATTTTCAATCTTTTTGTTGGGTCCTTATGTCCTACAGCTCAAAAATGTTAATACAAGTTGTATCATAAGTTGTTATTATAGAAGTTGTAAATATTAAAGATTTGTAGGAATAATTTTTTATTATAAGCATTTAAAGACCTCAAAAATCTCAAAAATCTCAAAAATTGAAAATTATTTTTTAATTAAAAATGTATAAAATGTTCAATTTTTATAGCTAAGGATTGAAAAAAAAATGATATTTAAGTTATTTATTTTACTATTCGTAGGTATTACAATAGCTAATTTGAAATGATTTTTGAATTTTTGAATTGCATATTTTGAAAAAGTCATTGCGTATAATATAAAATAATATAATAATATACTTACTTAGAATGTTTTAAGTACCCACGAATAATATTTTTATATTACAACAAATTAGGTAACTAAAATTGATAGTTTTTGTTTAAATTTATAGTTTTGTCCTAATTTATACTTGAAATATCTATAAAAATATCTGTTTATTTATTTCAGATTCTGAGCGGAGCGAAGAAGCTATAGTGGTTTTAATATGGTGTTTATTTTCTTTTTTTTTTTAAATTTTTTTTTATATCCTGTATACAAAATTTCTACCAGAAGGAGTGATTTGATTTCAACATATAGTACCTTATCTTTTAGCAAATTGGATCAAGATGGTACTTTAAAGAGGTAATTTTTCAATTTTATCAATAGTTATTTAATGGCACAGTAAAAACCACCGAACAATTACGAAAACCTGCTAAGATTTATATTTTAATTTCTAACGCTTTGTTTATTACCATAGAAACGAATAAAAAATAATAATATTATAATATTAATTCAACTTACATGATAAAATAATTAATGACAATATAAAATATCCAGACTGACAAACCGTCTCCTCTCAGAATTGTTTTTCTTATACAATGATATTGAATTCAAGTTTAATACAATCCATTATACAATAACCCACTGTACAGCAGAGCGACATCCACTTGCCTGATTTTTTTTAGATTAAAGTAAAAGTATGAACTTAAGATTGTTTAGAACAATATAATTATAGAAATCTTGTTTTAAATGGACAATCCTTAGCTATAAAAAGAAAATGTTTGATGAATTTTGAACTACAAAATAATTTGCATGATTTCCGTGATTTTAACAAATGTTGTTATAATTTAAACTTCAAATGCTTATAAAATAGTATCGTACCAATGTATCTTTAATATTTTTAAATATACATAAATACATATTATAAAACTACTTATGAGGAATCATGATTATATTTAAAAGATTTTTGACACAACGAAAAATTATATATTATCTAAATTTATAGAAAAAAAACTAAAATAAATCGAAAATATCTACCTATAAGTTATAGTTATAAATTGCTTAAAAAGAGTTAATATTTTGAATATTTTGTCATGTATGGAAAATAATGATATAATTATATAAACATTTGGTGAAAATTTGAAGAATCTATATTCTACGGTTATTTGTTTTCGAGTTACACAAAAAAAGCTGGAGTATTTTTACTGCCACAAAAGATGATGCCAGATAGAAAAAAACTTCAGATCTGTGTGAAAACGGATGAATTCAAAACAATGTGTTTATATTATAATATATATGCATATATATGCATATATAAACATAAAATAGTTGTATATTATATACTATAAAATATTTATCTAGTTTTTTCCCTTGAGTTAATCTGGGAATGCCAGCTACTACATATTATTATTTATTTTAAATGATTAATTTAAGTCATAGATCAATTAATTTAATCATTTTTTTTTTTTATTGAGATTTTTATATATTTTATAAATCTCAGTAGAGTTAATATGATAAAAAAATTAAAATTATATTTTAAAACATCAGTTTTTTTACCAATAAATAAAAACAGTGTACTTTTTTGATTCAAAATTCCAAAATAACATGAAAGTTACTAGAAACTTTATGCCTCACTGTTGGAATTCTTATTTTTTTAATAACTTTGATCTTTGAAGAAATGAAACGCGGGTATGAACCTCGGTTTTATGTGTGAACGGACTAATTCAAAACAATGTGTTTTGATCATTTGGGAGGTTGTACCACACGCGGCAATTTCCATGGCTAAACCGCGTACCTAATTGTGAGCGCTTATCAGGCGGTTGCATTTAAAATCAAGCAGTTTGAATTTGTTGGGCGGTTCAACGACCGCTGAGGCTCAAACGCTATGACGTGGACAGGCAAAAAAAAACTGAAAAAATTGAAAACGTCCTTAAACAGCTCGAAAACAGTAAAAATATTTTGAAAATGTTATCAAGTTTAGGAATTGATTAAATAAACATATTATATAAGATATAAATTGTTATTAATAAAGTGTTATTTCAAGTGTTAGTGTTACATTTACTGTTATTCGTTTTTGAATTACAACAAAATAAGAAAATCGCTACTTGAGAAATCAGGTGAATATCCAATGTTGTACAAATTGAACTTCAAACGCTTATAAATATTTATTTTGGCTTTCTTATAGACTTTTTGACGAAGAAGATTTTCTGATAGTTCAAAAATTAATGAAAGTAGTTATTAGAATTTTTACAAAATAATTATATGATACTTTAATGTCGCTAATCACTATTCACTTGCAAAAATATTTTGGTAATTTTTGTGCTATTAATAGATTTTTTAAATTATAATAACGATATTATCCTTTATTTTAGATTCTTATAGTGACGACTGACGAGTAGAGATCATGATAATTTAATAATGTGTTTTTTTTATGTTTTATACTTATATGGTATTTAATAATATGGTCGTATGGTACATCGCATAGTGACAATAATAGATCTCGGTAAAATAAGACGACAGGGGACAATATTTATTAAGACCAACGAATAACGATAAGTCGATCAAGGTAATCGTTTTATAAATTATAATAGAAAAAATGCTCCAATATTCACCTTTGAGTTTGTTTCTGGTAGAAA